CCATGGTCATGTTCATTGCCCCATTTGTATTAAATGTTACCCCTAGATATGTGAATTGGTTTGTTTTTTCAATCGTGTTTAGCCCATATGAGAATTCTGTATCTTTTGATTTATGACCATTTTTTGTGAAAATCATAATTTGTTTTTCTCATATTCAACTGTAAACCCCATTGTTTTGTATATTCATAAAGTGTGTCTAATGACCTTTGTAAGTCTTCTTTGTTAATAGCCGTTAGAACAATATCATCAGCGAATAGAAGTGAAGAGATGTTTTGACTATTTAGGTTTGGACTATTCATTGTACAGTTATCAATGTTGGCTACCAAGTCGTTTATAAAAATGTTAAATAATATTGGGCTTAATGGACACCCTTGTTTGATTGACACCTTCTTGCATTTTAAAGCTCTGGGTCACTTTGTCATTTAATTTAATTTTGAATTGCATATTCATATACATATGTTTTAGGACTCGATATGTATCCCCCCCCCCACATATGTTGTTTTGTAATAATTTTATGAATAGTCCCTCTATCCAAACTGTATCAAAACATTTTTTTAAGTCTATAAAGCAAGTGTTAAGTTTTTTGTTTTTTGATTGGTATTTTTTGATCAGTGTATGTAATGTCAGTATATGATCAGTTGTTCTGTGATTGCGTCTAAAGCCGGCTTGGTTTTTGACTCCTGTGTGCGAAGTCTTTGCAGTTACCCTGTCTGTATGTATGTATGTATGTATGTCACTTTTTTTGTTCCACCGTTATATCAAGAACCACTAATCAAATTTTGGTGAAACTTGGTACTTAGATGCTCTGGGATAATGCGCAGAGTTGATTAGGTTTTGGTGAAAATCCATGAATATTAATTAGCTGATTTTTAGCTGTTCCATGACTGTTCCACTGATATCTTGATATCTAAAAAAACCACTCATTGGATTTTGATGAAATTTGACACATAGATGCTCCAAACTAATGCGCAGATTTGATTAGTTTTGGGTAAAAATCTGTTTATATTAATTACCTAATTTGCATAATGATTAATAAATTTTCGGCTTTTCCACTGATATCTCAAGTACTAATCATAACATTTCAATAAAACTTGGTACATAGATGTCATATGACACTGCACAGACCTGATAGTTTTTGGGGTAATATCAGTACATATTAATTACCTAATTTGCATAATTAATTAATTGTCAGCTTTTGATATTTCGAGTAGTAATGATCACGTTTCAATGAAACATAATATAAATAATTCAATAACATATTAAATGCTCTAGGACAATGGCCTTATTAAGGGACAACATCAAAAGTTCAATATAGGATAAAAAACATAATTCTTTTAGTTTTTTTCCAAACCCCCCCACTGAAACTTAATTGATAAATATTTACCATGGCGTCAGACTACTTTCACCATTAAATACAAATTGATAATCTGACAGTAGTATGGCATAGCAGTTGGTTGTCTGGTGGGTGTAAAAAGACTTTACACTCGGACCAAACCATTTTCTCGTCTTGGATGTTTTGTTTTTTTCATTTTTGTCCATGATTGGATAGAGAAAAAAACGAATTACAAATATTCCAATATTTTTTTGACTTCATTAAAAAATAATAAAATCGTTTTTTGTAGGATAGAAACTTTTTGAGGTCAAACCCCCCCCCACCCCTAAACTAAAGCTAATAAGTTTCGATCTTTTGACGTCGTCCCTAATTTTGGGTTAAAATCTGTTATTATTAATTTTCTAATTAGCATAATAGTTAATAATTTTTTGGTTCTAATCATATTTCAATGAAACTTGGTACATTGTGCAGACCTTATTAGTTTTACACTGTTCATATTAGTTACCTTATTTGCATAATTAGTTTTCTGCGTTTTCATCAATATCTCAATTTCAAGTAATTTTGTGTCTCCAATACTCTCAGCACACGGGAGTTCTTTCTAAGCTTTCTTTGATTTGATGTTTTATGGCTGTTGCACTGATGTCTAAAAAACCACTCATTGGATTTTAATGAAAATTTTTAAAGAGTACCCATC